CCACTCCACAACTACATATCAGGTCAATAAACATGTTATATTTCTCTTTTTTTACAGTGTTAAACCAGCAGATCACATCATGTTGACAGCAAAAATAAACAAGAGTTATTACCACTCAACTTCCAATGTTCCTCTAGCAGCTGTTACCGTTAAAGATATGCTAGATTCTGTTGTGGAAAAAATACCGGATAAAGAAGCATACGTGTTTCCAGTTGAAAAGATACGCCTAACATTTGCAGAATTACAAAGGCAAGTGAACGCCTTGGCAACTGGGTTTATCAACATGGGGTTGAAACGAGGGGATACGCTGGGTATCTTGTCGTCACGTGCAACTGAATATGTATTGGTGCAGTTGGCCGCTGCACAGATTGGAGTGATCTTAGCAAGATTCCACATTGGCTTACCGCACAGTATGCTGGAAAATGTTATATTGAAAAGTGAATGCGTTGCTCTGGTAGTTGGTGACAATCATGACGATGTCTACAATCAATTAATGAAAATCATACCAGATTTGAAAACAACAGATTCAGGATTACTACCTATGACGGGAAAGTCTAAACTGCAATTTATAATTACCAAGGTAGCGGCATCTGGAGGCAGATGGAAATCCATTGACGATATCATGAATAAAAGCAACATGGATCCTGAGAAGGATAAAAAGCTATTAGAAGAAACTAGCAAAATGGTTGAGTTTGGTGACTTGTATACGATTTTCTACACATCTGGGAGTACTGGGCCATTGAAAGGCACTCTTCATAGTAATGAAGCTCTTCAAAACATTTACATGATGTGTGGAGACAGATATGGATGGACGAAAGATGACATTCTGTTGTCTGCATGTCCTTCATTGTCTCATGTTGCCGCAGATGTGGCTCACACGACCCCACTCGTACTTGGGTTGACATCAGTCATTCTCTCCCCTGGTGCAAACATTCAAGACAACGTTTCTGTTATACACGATGAACGTTGTTCTCTACTTTTTGCTACATATCCTGGTCTTTATAACATGTTATATTCTGGTAATGTAGAACAGTATAATTGCAATTCTGTTCGCCACATTTTGACTGGTGCTAGCATAATTCCAGCAGACTTCATTCAGAAAATAAGCACGATATTTCAGGCTAAAGTTTTAAATACATACGCATCATCTGAAGCGTTGGCAGTCAGTGGAATAGATCCGACGGATGATGGAAAAGGAAGTTTCGATAATGTTGGACGCCCATTTAGTCACACCGAAGTGAAGATAGTGGATACAAATGGTAAAATCGTGCCGATCAACACGCTTGGTGATCTGTTTATCCGCAGTAACTACGTATTCCGCTCATATATACACGATGAAGATAAGACGAAAAAGGTCAAGAGTGTGAATGGATGGTATAAATCAGGTGACATTGCTAAGATTAATAGCAATGGCTATATAACAGTTGTTGGAAGAAATCAGGATATCATAATGAAAGGGGCACAAACAATGTATTATGCCAGCTTAGTGGAGTCAATTTTAAGTCATCCCAACGTTAAAGCAGCTTACATTGTACCTGTACCAGATAAGGAATTGCAAGAAGATTTCTGTGCTTGTGTTTCGTTGAATGGAAACACTGTGCTATCGGGGGACGAACTAAGAGACTTCTACGTTGCCAATATTGCTATGAAAGATTACATTCCAAAGTATGTGATGGTATTTAATGATTTCCCGAAAAACGCAACTGGTAAAATTGACCAAATTGCTCTGTCCCAGGAAGTGTTTATCAGTTTAGGTTTGGATACAGACTGGCTTGTTCACGGCAGAAAGGCATAACATGTTTCAAAGTAACTGAACTCAAATGACATTACTAGTAGATAAGATTACGAGTGTGACACGCACTCCACCACTAATATTATTTATTAATGTCGCCACATTTTTGGGTTTGCGAAGCCTCTGCAAACATATGTGCATATGCCATACTAAAAGGGGAGTTTGTAGATAGTTTCCATTAATGTATAATGACAAATCTTTAGACAATATTTTGAGAAAAAAAATAACAGA